TGGAATAACGTCACAACAATGTGATTGGTCACTTGCAATGTTGAACCTGGAACAACATTTTCATGATGGTCTGGGAACAACACCAACACGAGGATATCAGATCATCCAATCCCTCAGGGGGGCTGTGTCAGGAAGGGCATCCGGTGTAAAAGAGTGCCAAATGAAATGTGCTGAGCTAGCCATTATGCTGACCCCTTGTGAATAAGGGAGCAGCTGAAAGTAGCTTGGTAAACTTGGACAATATTAAAAATGCATTTTAATAATGAAGTGAAAGGAATCATAATGATTACTCAGAGAAATCCTCTGCTACAGAGGATTTATGGCAGCCAAACGTTACTCCAACCTAATTCATCTTTGCCAGCCTTATTAGAGTGAGACATCCAGACACAGATGACGAGTGATAATCCAAAGCAAAGGAGCAAAAAGCACCTCAGGCCAGAAAAAGACTAGCAAGACTTTCAAGCTACTGGAGGTTGTGCTACCACTTAGTCTTCTGTTTTTCTGCTCAAACCACAAAGATGAGTATGCAGCTGTGGCACAATGACCTAGTTTCTTCATTCCTCCATTAGCAAGCATGTCTGACCAGCTCACGTTCACATCAGCCATCAAAGGTATGCCAATAGATAAACTGGGCTCACTTGAATCTTCCTGTGTGTAATCCTGCATAAAGGTCCAATATAGTTCTTATATTTATAATGTGGAAAATTCAGATTATTCAGACTGATATTTCAACTGTTCAGTTTCATTTCCTCTATGACTCTACTCTCTCTCTATGGATTTATTAATGGATTATATATGATTTGGAAAGACAATACAGTATATTAATACAGAGAATATTATAAATATAGTTCCCAAAATATCCATCTGCTGCTGTAACATCCATAATGTATAGACAAGCATAAAGGACAAGTTGCTCTTTAAAGGTGGCTAAATTTACATTTTTGACTGTGAGCAGGAACTGCTGGCAGCCAGTTAACATCATTCCTTTCACAGTCATTAAAACAGGGCTTTGATGACTTCCACCAGACCAAAGGAGTGTGTTCCCACAGCACTAATGCAGGAGGACAGACAAAATGTAAATACTTATAGGGCATAGAGATCACAGAGGCCAGAGTGGTAAAGGGTAAGAAGAGAGTCTCCTGAGGTCAACCTTCTTCTTTGGAAACTGAAGGTACCAGTAAGGTGACAGTTGGAGATCTGCAAAACTGCCCATGAAAGTACCATTTTCACGTAATCCCATTTAATTTTGTTGTTTTTAAAATACAGGCATTACCGTATTCTGCTCGTATGTGCATGCAGAGATACAGACCAGCATTCTTAGCAGGCTGATAAATGTGAACGTGGGCGTGCGCTCATATGTGTTAATCTGTGCAGCACGTGCACATGCTACACCCACATGTCTGGCTAGCTCCCTCCCTTCTCTATGGGCCCAGTGATGTAAAACATATGGCAGGTTAGATGGACATACTGGGCGAGACCATGAAAACACACACACACATTCACTAATCACTATACACTGCAGACGGCCTTGTAATGAAACCCACCCATCATCTACTGATTACGAAAGAGTCCAGAGGGGAGTTGTAGACTGTAGATTTCCCACCACATACTATTGTTGCTATGAATTTTTAATTAATTTATATTTTTTTACTGTATGTGGCATTGACATGAGACAGTGAGCCTGCACAAAACTGCTCATAAAATGTCTTTTTCATGTAATTAATTACTATACATTTTACCCAAATTTATTCAAATAGGAAGAAATGGTGTCTCTGTTAGAGATTCATTTTAGCCATGGATTAAGCCACATTAATCCAGCAGGAGAGTATATGTGGGTTTGAGTCCAGCACAGTAGTGTGTCCCATGGTTGTGTTTGTTTTCATCTCTTCTTTGTTGGTTTGGTGTTTTTGTCAAATTTATTGTGCAGTTTATTGCCAAGGAGACTGATTGACAAGTGGCAATTATTTGAGCATGACTTGTTCCAAAAGTGGGAACAGGCCAAACTAACATCAATCTCAGCACTACTGTGATGTCATGTTGATGCATTCTTTAAGCTCTTTTGAATGGAAGCAGCAGATGTAGATGCTGTACAGACAGTGTACACAATACAGTAAAAATCCAATGTATGACGCATACTTGTTTATACATACTTACTATACTTCTTTGTACTTGGTTTACCAGCTCACAGTTATGGATTCTCTACATTTCCCTAAAAGGTAGTGCAGCATGGCTTTCAGAACTCTCACTTTTCTTACCTGGAAGTCGTCTGTGGGGAACTGCAGCATGTCTCTGAGAACATCACTGATGATCTCAGTTTTCCTCTGTAGGAGCACATTCTCATAATCCAGAGGCTCAATGATCTTTGGCTTTACCTGAAGGAACAGATGACTGAATTAATCCAGCTCTTCACATTTTTGTCGTAGTCATTTACAGCATAAGCGCACAACCTTAATGGCAGTCTTTTACTGTAGAGTTGTCAAGGGTATTATTATTGCACGGGTTGTGAGATAAGTTACAAAAGGAAATCTGTCACAGTGCATGGACAACAAGTTGCCATTGTCCTTTCAAAGCATTACTGATTGAAAGCTACAGATGTAGAAACAGAAACAGAGATGGCAGTGAATGTGGGTTACGGTAGGAGACACTGGTGTGTGTGTGTGTGTGTGTGTGTGTGTGTGTGTGTGTGTGTGTGTGTGTGTGTGTGTGTGTGTGTGTGTCACTGTACCAGTCACAGTGGGCTGAGCTCAGATTTAAAACCTCAACAGGAGGAAGATACACCCTGACCAGGAGTTTTAACTTAGAAGTAGACCATGCTGTATTGTCACTGCAGACATCAGCTGTAACATACCACAGAAAAGACCCAAGGGGTTCCCCCCCACATGTCCTCCCTCACAAAGTCTGATGTTCACCAGTGATACACGCCATCTCTGTGGATGTGGATATTAGACTAAACCAAGACACAGTTCTGTGTTTACAGAACCAGTTAATTACAAGGAAATAGCTGTTCTGAACAGCTACATTTCTCTACACATTAAGGCCAAAAATGTATTTGAGTGTCCTTTTGCAGTTTCAGCCCTTGTAGCTAGATTAAGTAGCTATACTATGTTTTCTGTGTGGGAACTGAAGCTTAAAACTATAGGTTTGCCTTTGTTTTTAAACTCCATTTTACTAGGATACCTGCCAAGTATTGTGAAGTAAAACATGAGAATGAAGAAAAGAAGGGGTTTTCCAAGCAAAGTCACTAACAGACACCTCAGTGAAAAAAAGTTATGCCTTGTGTGCAAAAAAGAAGAAAAGGCTAAGTTTGCAGATTTAACACAAATTCTAACATCAATGTATGAACATACTCACTGTAATAAAGCTAAAGTGCTGATGTTTCGCATATGCAGAGTATTTACTACTTTGCCACCTCCATCAAACCACACTTCAGTCTTTTAAACCTGCTCTTTCACTCTTGTTGCTATCCTTAATGTCACAGATCACACACCAACACTCATCTCCACCCACTCCACCCTTGCCACACTCTCTCCTTCACCTCTGTTCTTAATGGTCATAATTCAGTTCAGCACAATGTTATTTAAATAGCACCAAGTAACAGCACCTAGTTTTTTTGGATTTACTTAAAAAAAGATGTTAAGTAGATCCACCCAACTGTGTTAGCTCCAAAATCACTGATAAAGTTATCAACCTGACCATCAACCAGACCAACGCAAGTCACACACAGCCTTTGTGACCGAAGCCATTGGCCTCTTGCCATCTGCGCCCCAACAATAAGACCTCTATCAAGAGTTTTCCTCTTACCCTCTTGACACAAAATTAGACACAACTGTCTGCTCAGAGCACGACTGGATGTTAAGTGCTAAATTGTAAAATGCAGTTTACCAGTGTGGAAGGATCTGCATTTGTCATTTTTCGACTGATTCAATCAGAATTTTTTTTATCCATCCGTATTTGACAAAAACACTGACTGCCCAGCATAGCTATGCACCTGCTTTAGTATGGATTAAACTAGTATTGACAGTAGTTAGGAACTGATTCAACATCATTTCAGTTCCTAAACTGCTCAGTTGAGTGTTGACCTGTCACTAATAGCTGTAAAACTAAACTGAGATTTCTGGTTTCAAAGTGACCACTAGAAGTACACATGATTCAAACTATTTGGATAAGCCTCTGAATCCAGTGAATACATTAGAAAAATAAACAAATGTCTGCTCACAGAATTACATTTACATTCATCCAACCAATACTTTTGATGATACAGTGCAAATAGCTCTTAGTCCCTTGGATCTATAAGAGCATGACAAGCAAAAAAACTTCAGTTCAAATTTCCAACTGAATGTTTGCCAGTGAGATCAAAGATAACAGCAAGCGGCTGTGAACTGTGTGACTTTCAAGTATTTCATTCCCAGGCTATGGTGCTTTTTACTATTTTCTTCAACAAATGAGCTCTCTATCAACTCTGCATTTAACTTCTCAAACTCTAAGGCACAGGAACAGTTCATGAAAAAAAGGACTCACAAGTGCTTCATATCCTAAAAAAGATTGACATTCAACCCTCTGGAGAGGTGTGACCTACTATTTCCAATTTCCTTCAAATGCCTTTAAAAAGATCTTCAAAGTAGCTGTTAAAAAGAATCTATGCACTAAAAGGTAACAATCACATCTCTTCCATTTAGCAAGAAATTTCCAGATTTAAAAAAAACAACTTGTGATTTATTTCTGAAATATGGCATAAGTACAACTCACTGTTGCCCCCTGTGACCCTGCCTCCACCTCTGCCTCAATCTCAGCCAGGCTCTTGTACTGCTGTGGAGACTCTATCACCATCTCCTTTCTGGGTGTTTTTCCTGCCCGTCCCTGCATGGCGATCAGTCTTGTCTGTGCCTATAGCCAGATGGACGATTCTGTCACTGGGCTACTGCCTTTAGTCTGTGAGAGTGTTGCCAGGGTCCAGTGACATTCCCTCTATACTCAGTCGCAACCGTCAAGCTTCTCTCTCCCGTTCTCTATTCCAGTCTGTGAGGGTGGGAGGGGCTCACAGCTGTGTGTGTATGCGTGTGTGTGTGTGTGCATTTGTATGTACAGTATGTGATTTGTGTGAGTAGGAGGGGAATATAATCACATCCCCATTAAACATTCGGAAGAGGCAGAAATACTCGCCGGCCCCACCTACTACTAAGCTGAAAACTGAACCCACCTAAAAAGGTAGGAAAAAAGATGCAATAACTCAGATATACTATACTTACTTTCATTTCGAACACACTTAAAAGGCTAACTCTTTAAAATAAGGTGTAGTAAATACCTAAACACTCATCTCACAAGACAATGCTATCAAAATGCATTGTACAGCAAACCATTACTTTATAGACCTTACCATTTACTCTAAATTGTTTGTCCTTCTTATACTGTAGTGCACTTCAATAATACTGAGGTCATTGAGGTTCATATTTGAAATGCCAGAAAATAAAGTTGGCTTGTCATTTGTTTGGTTGATCAACACCTCAAAGGAGGCATCTGAATTACTTTGTTCATGATGTGAACACATAAAAGCTACAAGCTTTAGTTTTACAGATGGATCCTACATTGGTTCCAAAACACTAAAGCTACTGTTGATATGAAAACATGGCCAATGGTCACAGTTACAGTATTTCAACAGTCTGCATTGAGAAAGTTCTACTCCCCGTCGCTGTTTTGCTCTGCTTTGAACTGTTCTTGTGCTGTATCCACTGCAGCAGGCACCCACAGCAGGGTCTACTAAAAACACACTTCCCCCTTATCCGGGTCTCAGATACAGCACACGCTCTCCTGCTGCTTCAGGAACACTTTGAGTTGCCTCTTGCTTATCCATACAGTCATCACTCTCTCTGAGGACAACCACTTGCCTTTAATCTTTAAGCAACAGAGGCGCCTCAGCTCAGCTCAGTTTTCCATTGAAGGCTGTGTTTCAGAAAGATGACATTTAAAGTTTTCAGTGAGGAATTACTTGTGCTAAATTTATGCAAATCCTTTATTTTGGAGGCTTTCTTTTCTCCATTAAGCTATAATTCACACAACTCCAAAACACACTGCCGTTTATGAGCCATGGAGTCTTACTGAGTCACACACACACAGTTAATAACTCATCCAATTATCTCCATGAGGTGTGAATTTATGGCTCCCTAGTGCACACAGACTGTAAGAGGGGGAGGTGGGACATCACAGCGTGGAGATGACATGCTATGGGTCAGAATGACTTCAAAGGCCATCATTGCTCCACTGCAGTTTCAGATCCATCGCTCCTAACAAAATGTAGCACACAGGCAGGCAAGCGTGTGTGAGTTGTGTGAGCGTGTGAGACTTTTTTGTGCCGCAGTTTCCTTTGATCATTTGCATAACTTCTTTTATCTGTACAAGCTTCAAAGAGACTTGCTGAAATGTAGCATGCAGAGAAATTATTTCCTCTAAAAACAACGGAAAAGTGCACCATTTATTATTCAATAAGGTGTGGTGCAGAAGAGCTTCATTATGGTCCAGCAAAACCATCAGTAAAAGAGCAAGTAACTGCTGGAAGGATTTTAGTCAAATGTGGTTCATACACTGGTTTATATCAATTAGGGTGGTTGTGCAGAAATATAGGGAGGGTAACTTTCAATTCAATTTTATGTATACAGCGCCACATCACAAAAACAGTCGCCTCAAGGTGCTTTATATTGTAAGGCATATTCAATTCAATTCAATTTTATTTATATAGCGCCAAATCACAACATAAGTCGCCTCAAGGCGCTTCATAGATACAGAGAAAAACCCAACAATCATATGACCCCTTATGAGCAAGCACTTTGGCAACAGTGGGAAGGAAAAACTCCCTTTTAACAGGAAGAAACCTCCGGCAGAACCAGGCTCAGGGAGGGGTGGCCATCTGTTGCGACCGGTTGGGGAGAGAGAAGGAAGACAGGATAAAAGACATGCTGTGGAAGAGAGACAGAGATTAATAACAAGTATGACTCAATGCAGAGAGGTCTATTAACACATAGTGAGTGAGAAAGGTGACTGAAGAAGAAATACTCAATGCATCATAGGAATCCCCCAGCAGCCTACACCTACTGCAGCATAACTAAGGGAGGATTCAGGGTCACCTGATCCAGCCCTAACTATAAGCTTTAGCGAAAAGGAAAGTGTGAAACCTAATCTTAAAAGCAGAGATAGTGTCTGTCTCCCGAATCCAAACCGGAAGCTGGTTCCACAGAAGAGGGGCCTGAAAACTGAAGGCTCTGCCTCCCATTCTACTTTTAAATACACTACGAACAACTTGGGCTGTAAAGAGTTTTTCTAAACTTTTATTACACCTGCCAGACAGCTTTCAATGAATCCTGTCGTTAAGTCTGACGTCACT